CCCTTTCTTTAATCGACGATTCCTATGAAATGTGCCCGGTGCCACAGACTCCTTTGATCTCACCGAGTAAGGGAGGAGGGGGCTAAGAGAAGGAATTAAATAGCAAAAGGAGGAGGAAACCAGGAGGGGAAAGCCCTCTCATGGGAGGTTGTTAAATGATGCCTCTTCTTCATTAGAGCAGCCAGGCAAGAGCTTGTCCCAAGCCCGTGCCCCATCCCGCCGGAGCACGCAGAGTCATCCTGCTTCTGGCTCTGGCACAGGGGTTGGGGCTGCCTGGGGATGCCCCTCGGCAGAGCAAGCGCCCGGGGCCGCAGGCAGCACCGGGAGCCCTTCCCACTGCATAACCCCGGCCCTGCGAGAGCCGCTCTGGCATGGAGGAGCTGGCAGCCAAGCCTGGAGAAGCAGCCAGAGGGTACGAGCAGCAGTTTGTTTTCTGCTGCTTGCCAGGATCCGCGTGGAGATGCGGTGCTGCCAGGGACGTGCTCTCTGGAAGCACGGGGCTGCCGAGTGCCAGCCCTGCCGCGGGATGGCTGGCCTTCCCCCGCCGGCCCTGGCTCTTGCTCAGGGGAAGGCCTGACCCACGCAACCGGAGGATGAGGTGGGTATTCCTGGGGTCCTTTCCTTTCTCGCTCCAACCATGACTTTCCCAGCAAAGCGAAGCTGCACCGTGAGGCCACCAGGGACTGCAGGTCCCTCGCCATTATGGCAGGGATCACCCTGCTGCCAGCATGGCCCTGCCTCTCGGAGCTGCTGTGTGAGAGCTGGCTGCTGGACAAGAAACGACCCACATGGTGCGAGCAGGTTTGGCCCTGCCAAGTCTACGCCTCTCCCCTGCCTGCTCTGCCTCCGTCCAGAATGGACGGCACAAGCAGTCGGTGGTGATGGATGGTGCCATCAGAGCTCCAGTGCACGGGCCCGGGATGGGATAGAGGGGCTGCCACTGCCCAGCTGGGAGCGGGCAAGGACAGGAGAAGCCGCAGTGGCAGGGCAGGGGGATCTGTCAGCGGCTTCGTTGCCTTCCTCATCAGTGCTGCAGTGGCCTTTCATAGAATCATAGAATGTTTTGGGTGGGAAGGGACCCCCAGGGGTCACCCAGCCCAACCCCCCTGCAGGAGCAGGGACACCTTGAACCACATCAGGTTGCTCACAGCCCCATCCAACCTGGCCTGGAATGTTCCCAGGGATGGGGCCTCCACCCCCTCTCTGGGCAACCTGTTCCAGTGTTTTACCAACAGCCCAGCTCTGCCGTGTTGTGCCCCCATGGTGAGCAATGGTGCAGCAGGGGGGAGCCCAGTTCCCCCTGTGACAGCCCAGCACCGCCTCGAGCACATCGTCCCCCCTGGCCTGCAGGGGCACGAGCCTGTCCCCAGTCCCACGTCTGAGGGCTCCCCAAGCATGCGGGGGCTGCTGCAGCCAGGGGAGAGGGGCTTGAGGGG